GTATGTGCAGAAATTAGCGAATGTGAATGTACCAGTGAGGAGCGGGACAAACATATGAAAACGCTTTCCACACCAGTTCATGCCTTTTCCATAACAGTATAAAAACAGAAATAAAAAAATAGTGCTTCTTTGTACCAACGCCGTATGCATATATATCCTCCTTCACATCAAAGCACCACGTGCGAATTCCACGTCCTTCCATACGTTCAGTCCACTTTTTAATTTGCCCATTTTATGCTAAAAAAAAAAAAGAGAAAAAAAAATATATGATCAACTACGCTAATATGTCAACATGTCGACATGTTTCTACGTGGCAACATATTGACCGGGTAAAAATTAAAAAAAGAAAAAAAAAGAAACACTTTTTCCCATTATTAAACTTTAACAACAGAAAGGCTAAGTAAAGCCAGGTAAAATGTAAAACAATTTTTTAAAAGTAAAAAGGAAAAATATATAGATAAAACTCTGCCGCACGTGCACGACAAACGAACAGTCAAATAATGAATTATCAATAACACAGCACACAGCGGCATTTTCTGTGGCGGCGGAGGGAACCAATTCCTACTCAAATAACGCGAGATTTTTTCCGAAAAATGCCATGTGATAAGTGCGAAAAGAAGCTGAAGAAGCTGCCAACCCCGGACGTAAAGAACAGTAATGTTTTTTTTTTTTTTTTTTTTGCGGCATGCATCCTTTTCCCGCATGGCGCATTAACCAGTTCAAAAAGTGCGTCGAGGAAGGGGGACCTCATAGATAAATAAACATACATATATATCTATATGTGCACCAATTTTCATGCGTATTTTCGTGCCCTCCCCAGCCATCAAAGCGTCCTACTCTCTCCGCGCTTTTGAACAAAACTATGCCGCCGTAGACCCCCCCTCTTTACGATGGACCAATTGCATTTCTTAAAGATAGCGCATGTGCAACTTCCTCCCCCAGAAAAAAATTAATTCACGCAATGCATTTTTGTCGATAGGCTCAAGCAGGTCTTATGGAGGGAACAAACTGCTGGAGTACAAAAACAACAAGCAAAAGTATGTCCAATGGGAGTGCACAAAATTGTGTCTTCCCCCGTAGCTTTTAACCTACACAGCTTTTTGTCATTTAAAGGGTGTACTTTTGAAGATGTAACTTTTCGCTTCCCCATTTTTCCTTTTTTTTTGTCTTCTTCTTCCACCAGGTTTAATCCTAACAGGAGCAAGTGCAAAAAGTGCAACAGTCAACTCCACTTTGACGGAAAATACTGCTCTACATGGTAGCCAGCTATAGGCCCCAAAGTAGCACGTGTACGCGCATGTGTGCATATTTGCCTACACGTACACACTCATCTATGATGGGTTCATCCCCGAAAGGAAACCCCTCCCTTCTCACATCACCCCTTTTTATGGCCCCCTTTTTAGCGCCTACAAATTGGGCAAATGCCACTTGTGCGGAAAAACCATATCGGACAACTCGGCCCACAACATGTCCATGATCTAGGTACACTTGTCACATGAGAAAACAACGCAGGAAAGCGTCAACACAGAAATATACAAATAAAACTACCCCTGAGAGAAAGGAAAAATTAGGACCAGTTACCCCCCATTATGGGTACCAAACTACACAATATGTACAAAAGAAAAAATTTCGCTTCCCCATAAAATGAACACGCCTGAAATGTACATGTATATTTATATGTGGGAAATTGTTTTGACGGAAAAAATACGTTCAATTTACCCCTTCTTCTTGCATTTCCTCCCGCTTTTCTTTTTTATGTAAGATCCTTTTTTTTGGATTACTTTTTCAATACTTTTTCGATTACTTTTTCAATACTTTTTCGTGTTACGGACTCCACAAAGCACTTTAAATGATAAGCGATTGCGCGGCCTTCATCTGGTATGCCCTCGTGAACAAATCAGCTTTAAATACTCAAATGAGCCAAGGGATGCACAGATTCTTCCCTTTTGAAATTCTCTGTACCCACTTACATGGATGCATATACTGATACTCCGCATGCGCAGTGGATAGTAGGTGTTCACCCCATTGCTCACATTTGCACACACACTTTTGGGGGCATTCCCATCGCGGGTAGTGCAAAATACAACAGCAAGTGTAACCTGCTTTCTGTGTGACCCTGCATTGGAACTTACAGCAAAGTAGTAAGGAAAATATGCTCTCGTTTTTTTCTTCTTCTCCGCGTGCATGGTTTTGCCTCCCCCCTTTGTGACTTAACATCGTCTCAATTAGTTTCACACCGCATCGTTTCGCATCGTCTCAGATGGTTTCTCAGAGCGTCGCATCGCGTTGCTTCCTTTGAGCTCCCGGTTCGTTGCCTGACTGACCCTGACAAAATGTCCACCTCAAAATAACTCGTTGGCATCGCGTAACGCCTTCATTTACAAGAAAGGATTTTCACACGGAGAAAATAATAGGTGGACACAATTATTACCCTTTTGAGAAATTTGGTGCACGAAGGCAAACCAGACACGGGGGGAAATGCGCCAAAGGGCAAACCAACAAATATGTGAGGAACCAATGGGGGGAAAACCTCCCATCACACAGCTGGTTAGTTGCGCCATCAAGCAGCTTCCCAAGTCAGTCATATGACAAACGCACAATTACACCAGCGCGCATCAATCTTGCCAGCGTTCGCCACTCATGAAAAATTCAGCTGGAATTTTCCAAGAGAACGAAGAGCACAAATTACACATGCCCCTTGTAACCAATACATTTCGTTCTGACGACATATAATTCTGGAAAAAATTAAAACCCGCCCAGATTTAACTGTTGTCTTTGCTTTTTAAAAGAGGAAACGGAGTGCACTGGATAGCAGTGAATAACAACAGTGTAAATGAGTTAAAAAAAATCTGCTACCAGGGGGGAAAATTGAAAGGGAAAAATAGAAAATGGAAGAATGGAAAATAGAAAAACTAAAAATAGAAAAACGAAAAATAGAAAAACGAATACGTGGGAATATGCACGTGAGGAGGAAAGCTAAAGTTTGAAAAAATGCAACTTCGCATAGCAGTGTTCATAAAAAAAAAAAAAAAAATGCCATGTCCAGTCCTGTCGAGCAAGGAAAACTGTACACACTTTTGCAGAAATTACCAAAGTGAAAAAAATGAGAAGGTAGTGGTATATATTTCTTTGTCCCTTTACGCGAAGCAGCATATGTGCACACCCACCCATACGCTTTCACATCCATATGTTCTTTCATCCATCCATATGTTTCTGCATCCACCCACATGTTTTTTCATCCACCCATATGCTTACGCATCCATTCCTATCTGTTTTGATTCACTCCCACACGTTTTCACACCCGTCTGTGCATATCGCCGGCGCAGCCACTGTCTAATAATTGCAACCATTCAGACGAATGCTCAGGGAACCATACCCATGCACAATGCCGTGTGCATAATTTGCGTTCATTTCTTTGTCGCCAAATGAATGAGTGATTGCATGAATGGACAGTTCCCCATACGCCAATATGTAGACACGCCTTCATATGTGTACTCTCGCGCATATATGTACACACGCACACGCTTACACACATGTGCACCAGTGCGTAGACTACCATCCCAGTGTCGACGCCATGTCAACGCTTTTCTACATGCTAAATGAAACAAAGACGTAGTGTCACCATTACTCCGAAGGGTGATATAAAAGTTGTACGTCGTAACCACTAACAGATGTGAACGAGAAAAAGTAAAAGAAAAACATAAAGAGAAACAGAAAAAGAAAGAGAAAAACTTATCATAAACCCACAACATTCACGAGTGAAAAATAAGAAGCGAAAAATGAGCAAAATTAAAGTACACAAATTCATCCATATCACCTCGTTTACACATTTGAAATCATAAGTTTTTTTTTTTTTCGACACCAACAATTTTTATATGTGAATACACACATGTGTTTTACTGCGCACATTTGACAAGTTAAGAAAGTAACGTCCTACATAACATCGTCCTGTGTTTTTTTTCTTTCTGCTAGCCAAAGTTTGCGTTGTAAATGCTACATATTGAATTATTTTTTTTTTTTTTTCCTTCGTTTTTTACCCCTTCGTACTTTTGGCTGTCAATCTTTCCTATCGTTACACGCTAGCTGACTACGCGGTGCGTTAATATATGGGGGAAAAAAGTATGAAAGGGTAATAAACATTTAAGTGCATTTCCGTACCACATCGTTTTTTTCTTTTTTTTTTTTTTTATGAACAGTTCAGGCGAATTTATTATCACTGGAAACACGGGACAAAGTTTGTAATTGCGCATTACCACTGCTTCGTTTTTGTTGTGTCGTATACCACTGTGTAAAGAATGTTTGTGTTAAGTGAAAAAAAAAGTCCCATAAGACAATATGAAACATTTTTAATATCGTAAAAGAAGGAGCATTTAA